AGAACCTAGGGCATCATAATTCAGCACAGCTTTAAAAGCACAGAAAGATGAAAGAACTAATCTTCTAAAATAAAGAAGACCAAGAGTGTGGCAGTGCAACCACCTGCCACATAAATCTATGTACTTCGCCAGAATGACTGAAAAATACGACTTTCATGTGGTACTGCTGGTAACAGATTCACTCAGCAATGGTCAAGATGAGTCATAGAACCATAGAATGGTTTGGATTGGAAAGGACCTTACAGATCATCCAGTTCCAACACCCCTGCCACAGGAACAAACACCTGTCACTAGTCCAGGTTGCTCCAAGCCCCATCCAGCCTGGCCTTGAACAGTGCCAGGGATGGGGCAGCCACAGCTTCTCTGGGCAACCTGTGCCAGCACCTCACCACCCTCACAGTAAAGAATTTTTTCCTAATATCTAATCTAAGTCCATCACTGAGTCCATTGCTTCTTTTCCAGCTACAAACCATCTCTAGCCATATGCATCAAAGGACCTGCCCCATGTGTCAGGAGGGATTGTTCTGCTGGTTAATTATCCCACTACTGGAAACATCCAGGTACTTTTGGCCCAGGTTTTTTGCCTTTTCTCCTGCAGGGAGGAAGGCAGTGTTCAGCTCCCAGCAGTAGCTCAGTAAATGCCACTTTTCCATGACTGGTAGGACTATGTTGTTTGGCTAGTATCTGTTTTGGGTAACATAGCCTTTGAACAATGGTCTGACTAGAGGCAGGAGGCTGGTTTTAAAGCCAGAGCTGGATATGCTATTCCAGCATCAAAGCTGAAGGACTGTGGGGGATGAGAGCAGCAAGTTTCTCAAAGTGATGCTAAAGGAGGAGACAACTCCTCATTAAACCCTCCCATCCCACCCCACCCCCAAAAAAACCCCAAACAAACCCCAAAGATACTGGGTCTTGTCTGTCTTTTTTATTTTTTCAAAAGGGTTTCGCATTTTCTCACTGGTGCATAAAGGGACTTTTTACTCTCATGGACAAAGAGCTGGAATTTGAGGCCAGAGGATCTGGAAATGAGGCCCTGCTTGTTAGCAGCAGGTTATTAAAACAAGCTGTCACAGAGCAGAGCATCTCTTTTTTTCCCCTCTAGAGTGTTCAGGTCTGATCTAAAGCCCAGCTGGAAAATACGCTTAAAGCAGCCAAGCAAACAAGGCTCCAGTTGAAGCCGAGTGATAAAATTCAATACAATAGCTACTGCCCTGAATTTAATAGCTTGTGTCATGCAGCAGGACAAACTAGGGAAAGGACATACTTTCTAGCCTTGAATTTTGGGTTATTTAAAACAAATGGATGGATACCCAAGCTCAATGCTCCTTACTCTTTCTGCCTAGTCCACCTTCTCCTGGATGGTAAAATGGGAGTAATGATGCCAGTTCATCTTCATTGGTTTATGAACTGCTTGCTGCTCCAGCCCTGAATATCTACAGTATCTAAGTGCTGCACAGCAAGTATTGAATGGCCAGGAAATAAAAACGAACCAGCTGCATGTTAACTGAGCATCAGCAGCCTGAAAATGGGCCTGGGGTTTGATAACAACTGCTCTGCAACCTTGCAGTGGGCACCACTTGCAATAAAACAAGAGGCAGTGCAACCTTCTCTTGAGAGAGCTGGTCGTCCTGGAGGGCAATGGCATTTGCAGGCAACTGATGCACTGGGCAGAGCACAGAATTTTGCTGAAAAGGTCTTCAAATTAACCAGGCCATCTCCTAAATAATACTAATGAGCAGGAGGAAGACATCCAGAGAATGAACTCCCTTCTCTGCACTGCAGAGATTATTCCTGTGCAAGTATACAGTAAAAGACTGTTAAGTATGTAAGCCACTTGGAAGTACATGAAATTATTTGCATCTGGAATATTTTATTATCAGGGAAAAGATGTGTGGAGAGGAGGTAAGTATGGAGCCTTTCATTAACTAAGAGTGTTTTTTAAATGACTGGCTTGTGTAAACAGCTCCTGGTCACAAAGATTGTGGGGAAAAATACAGTTTGTTTAAAAAAGAATTTGTTTTGCCACTTAGGGTTACAGAAAGGCTGGAATCTTGGAGCAGATTCTCCTGGAAGGCATGCTAAGGGACATGAAAAACAACAAGGTGCTTGGTGACAGCCAGCATGGCTTCACTAAGGGGAAATCCTGCCTGACCTATTTGGTGGCCTTTTATGATGGGGCTAGGGAACTGATGGACAGGAGTAGGGGAGCTGAGGTCATCTACCTGGACTTCTGCAAAGCATTCAACACTGTCCTACGTGACATCCTTGTCTCTAAATTGGAGAGACATCAATTTGATGGACCACTGGGTGGATAAAGAACTGGCTGGATGGCTGCACACAAAGAGTTGTGGTCAATGGCTCAATGTCTGGCTGGAGACCTGTAACGAGTGGTGTCCCTCAGGGATCGGTGTTGGGACCGGTCTTGTTTAACATCTTTGTTGGTGACAGGGACAGTGGGCTTGAGTGCGCCCTCAGTATGTTTGCTGATGTCACCAAGCTGTGTGGTTCGGTTGATACGCTGGAGGGAAGGAATGCCATCCAGAGGGACCTTGACACGCTTGTGAGGTGGGCTGATGCCAACCTCATGAAGTTTAACCATGCCAAGTGCAAGGTCCTACACCTGGGTCGGAGCAATCCCAGACACAGCTACAGGCTGGGCAGAGAAGAGATTCAGAGCAGCCCTGTGGAGAAGGACTTGGGGGTGCTGGTCGATGAGAAAATGAACATGAGCCAGCTTCAGTGTGCACTTGCAGCCCAGAAAGCCAACGATATCCTAGGCTGCATCAAGAGGAGTGTGACCAGCAGGTCGAAGGAGGTGATCCTGCCCCTTTATTCTGCTCTCCTGAGACCTAACTTGGAGTATTGTGTGCGGTTCTGGTGTCCTCAACATTAAAAGGACATGGAACTGTTGGAACAAGTCTGGAGGAGGGCCACAAGGATGATCAAGGGACTGGAGCACCTCCTGTATGAAGACAGGCTGAGAAAGTTGGGGCTGTTCAGCCTGGAGAAGAGAAGGCTGCGTGGATACCTCATAGCAGCTTTCAAGTACCTGAAGGGGGCCTATAGGGATGCTGGGGAGGGACTCTTCATTAGGGACTGTAGTGATAGGACAAGAGGTAATGCGTTAAAACTTAAACAGTGGAAGTTTAGATTGGATATAAGGAGGAAATTCTTCCCTGTTAGGGTGGTGAGGCACTGGAATGGGTTGCCCATGGAGGTTGTGAATGCTTCATCCCTGGCAACGTTCAAGGCCAAGTTGGACGAAACCTTGGGTGAGATGGTTTAGAGCGAGGTGTCCCTGCCCAAGGCAGGGGGGTTGGAACTTGATGATTTTAAGGTCCTTTCCAACCCTAACTATTCTATGCTTGGAAATACATGTCCTAAGACCTGCAGCACAGGGAAGGACATGACCATGGTGCTTTTAAAATTATTTTAAAGGGCTGTTGTGATTATTATTTTGTTCTATTGACCAATTCAGAAGCTTCAACCCAAGAATTTCTTCTCATTGGCATGAATCAGCATTGTTTGTGTCATGTAGCAGTTACCTCATCTCTGCAAGGTTAAGAGGGGAGTCTTGGCTTGCAGAAGTGGTTTTAAGTATTCCTGACAACGTGTCTTTGCCTAGTGAACAAAACACGACTTCTGCCTTTAAAGTGAAGATAAGCGTTCTTAAACGTCTGAGGGAGCTGCTGAAAGAATAAAGACCACGGACTTCTAGATGCTCTGGGAAGGAGGCATGCATGTCTCAGAAGCTAGATAGGAAGAATTAGGTGCTGCTGCTCTTCCAGGCACTCTGGTTTCAGCCACAATTAGGCACTGTTAGAGGGATGGTTTCTCTGTTTCACTTGTTCCAAGGGCTTCTTACATCTGTGCATGTCCAGAGCTGCTCACAGCTCCCTGAAGTGGTTTGCTCCTTCCAGTGTCATCTTGCAGGTGTGGAGTAGATAGTAGCATGCCCAAGATGTCCATTCTATTCCCTGAAACACATGGGTCAGGCAGGCCAATAGCACGTGTAATAACCCCATGTGAACTGCACTCTTCAAAGTACATACTAATAAGATATTTTAAAGAAAACCTTGCTCCTTGTGGCTGACCCAAGAAGTGGGAATTGTGTGAGATTTTAGCCAAGAGGATTGAGAGTCACCTCTTCCCCTTTCCAGGAAAGTGATGAAATTGGCTACAGGTTGGGAGTGGGGTGGGGACAGGACTGGATGTGATGGGATATGCGTTTAGGCCACATGTTTATATCAGTCTTTTTTTGAGGCCATGAACTGGGGGGAAGTAAATTAAGTTTTCCATGACTAGAAGAGTAGATGATGGAGAGGAGATGATGGTAACCATTCCTGCAGATGTTTGTACCATTAGAAAAATATCTCTGTCTTATATTTAGTCGAGATTCTTAAATGTTGCTATTAATTGCTTATACGTAGAGCCCTGTATCAAAACAGGCACTAGAGCTAGGATATACAAGCTCTCAAGTATTTTAATACAGTATGATGAGGCAGTGCTATCCGATTTACTGGTACACTTAATGTAATTTAGAGATGGAATTTCCAGGTAATGGTAGATAACGGCACTTTAATTTCTAAAAAAAGAAACCATCTTCAAGTCATTTTAGTGTATGTAATAGATAGGTACAAGCTTACAGATATGGAAGAAGTAATAAGGATGGGACAAGACTTAAATACCAAAAGCTCTTCATCCCAGAGAATAACCCTGCTATCTGAGAACTTTAATGACCACTGTATTCTCACAGAGAGTAAACACCAAAAAATAGAATCTTGCAGTGCAACTTTGATAGCTGAATATGGCTTGAAGTGCAACTTCTACAGCATTGCTAGTAAGGATCCAGGTATGCTTTAATCATTTATAGCTCCCTCCACCCAACAACAGCTTGTATAACTAAAATTATCCTCCCTGAAGATAATCTTCTAAAAGTAAGTGAACACAGTTGCATATGAAAAGTCCAAGTAAAAAAAGAAAATCTCAAAGGTTCACTGTAAATGCCAACGTTATATGTTTTATTTTTAATCAAGTAATTCTTTTAAACCTCACAATATCCATGACTGACAGGAAAAAAAGACATTAGGCATGAAATGAGAATATAAAATACATGATATGTAGAAAGGCAATCAGTGCTTTAGTCCCTCAAGACAGTAAACAGGTGAAATGACCTTCAAAACTGCAACTCACTGTCTTTTTCTTAAAACATAAAATTCAAGTGATTTTTCTTTTATTTCACCTTGTAAACAACATACAAGTCAAAATGGACAATGAGGTAATCTATACTACAGAAGATAATTTAAAAACACTAGATAAGACACAGTATTGAAGACATATAGAAATCAGTGTTCACTTTGGTCTCTAGTATGGTTATTGTTATTATTACCACAAGCAACACATACTAGTTTAAGCCAGTCTGGTGATGTTTGTCAGCCAGTTTTTGCTTAACTTAGTAATCCAAGAGGTAGTCAAAACCATTATCCTTTGTAAAGATGGCTGCTTTTACATTTGGTTCCACAACAATGGTAGCAAATACCTTGGTACTTCTCAACATTCTCATAAAAGCACTGCTGAAGCTGCTAATATACAGCTCCAGTTTATATAAAAAACAGAAACATGTTCATAGATCAACCTCTTGTTATCAGTCAACAGTTGTAACGGGGGTAACACAACCAACAGATCTTAAAGAAGAGGCTGTTGATACACTAAGCAAAATAAGATCAATGCATTTAACAAGGCTCTGCTTGTTTCTAAAACAATACTCAAATCTCATTAAGACTTCTAAAAAATTAAAATCAGTGCATCTGCACATGTACATATCTTCCCAATTACTTTTATATCTAGCACAGGGGAATACATATATATTTTTTATGATAAACATTTCTTACAGATAAATTAATTAAATTAAATTTGAGATTTCCCATGTTCTTTTATAATTCTTCTTACAAAGAATGTTACAAGATTTATAAACACTTTTAATGGGGCTCTATTCACAAAACTATGACTAAGCAGGAACTCCAGGATAACACTGGTGCAGAACAGAACTGGGCTGAAAAAGGTGGCCTGCAAAGGCAAGAGGTAGGATCCAAAAGTGGTGTTTGGCACGCCCTGAAAGCTGGCTAAAAGCAAAATGTTGCAAATGGTATTGCAATGCCAGATTTACCACCAACTGCAGTGAAAAGCTATTTGGCTCCTCCTCCTCCAAATACAAGTCTTCCTCATGACCTAACTTTTGTAGCATGTAAATAAATACAATGACCTCTCCTTGGGGGAGAGTAAAAAATACCATGTCCCTTATGATTAAATCAAATTGAATATTTTGGGATGGAGGAATGGGAGGGACATTTTTGTTCCAGACTATCTCCACTGTTATTAGGAGAAAAATACATCTCTCTGAGCAGATATCTGAACTATTTCTACTCAGATGAGTTTTATTGTGAAGCATTCTGGCAAGGACAGGATGGTGAATAGGCTGAGCCAATGATGCAGAATATTCACTTTGTCCTGAGACATAAAGGAAGAATCTGAAGCTGAGTCTGTGCTTCCTGCTTTAAAGGCTTCTTTTCTTATCTGGAGCTGAAGGAGTATAATTAGATAGTTGTTGGGTTTTTTTTTCCTACTGCAGCCCAGTGCCCAGTAGTTACCTGCTGCTATATGTTTGACTTAGGCATATACATTTTTGTCTTTTCTGCAGATGTATTTGTTTTCATGAACAGTGCCCATAATCCTTTAGACAGAAAAATAAAAGTTTTCAAAGAAATGTTTGGAAACGTCTCGTAATTTCAAATGGATGCTTCATCTTAAACAAGTATTTGCCATAATGTATGCAGTGGTGAACTATCAGTTACATATTTAGTACAGATAAAAAGTATGTACCATAGATCAACAGCCACCTTTAAGGCTAAAGCAGCACAAAGGTGTGTTTATGCAGTAAATATGAGGTAGCCTTTTGCTGTAAACAGAATAATAATTTTATTGTCACCTATGTAAACAAAGTGGGCTTGATGCTTTTGTGGTTTTATTCCTCCCCCTCCACCCCCAGTCCCTCATCCCTCCCCTCCTAGAAGAGCTGAGCACCAGTAACTCTGACTGGAAGTCAGTGGGATCTGTGGTTGCCCAGCGTCTCTGAAAACTCAGACCCTGTGAATGTAAAGACACAAATGTTCACACAAGTAACCAGTACAGAATACCACTTTATCATTTCACAGGAACTTAATAATACAAAATGCTGAGATCTGATTATCAGAAATGTAGATCTATGTCAACTCAGAGGTAGTTACTAATATCAGTACATAATACTTATAAAGAGATAAAAAGGTCTAAGACTATTTGGTTTGTTCTGAGTAAGCAGGTCTGCAGACTATTCTGTAAAGAAAAAAAAAACATTCCATGGTATATTCCCTGAGCAAAGTTCTTTGTCCTGAGTATGTTATGTAATAGTGATAACATTCTAATATATAAAAATAAAACCTTAAGCTTTCAACAATAAGATAGGGTTTGGTATGTGCTCTTAGCAGCTCAATCTGCCTTTGGTGCACAGTGATTTCTAACAGCACCAATAAAAATCTGCATGTTGAAAATACTTCCTTTTCTCAGCTCTGAACTTCTTATGTATAAACAGGGAATGACCAGTTTTCAAATCCACAACTGCCCATTTTTATAAGGAACTTTGGTTTCCATTTTCAAAGTGACCTAAGTTTTGCATCTTTGCTGTTTAACCTGGTTTTTACACCGGCTAGAAGGTTAAGCAATGCCACTTTGATTTGTCTACATAATTTAAATAAGTTTACTATCCTTACATAAGGCAAGGAAGTTCTTTTCTATAGATACATCACATTCAATATCGTCAAAGGTAAGCTTTGCATTAGCATACTGAGAACTTCAGTATAAACCATCAAGATTCTCGCAAACACTGGCATGGGAATTCACACAAAATAATTCTCTTCAAATTGTGCCCTTCGCTGAGGCGTTTGATTACTATCTGTTTACTGCAGCAGCAGCAGCAACAGTAAAAGTCTCATCTGGCAGGACAAGTGGGAAGGGGAAGGCCATGTAATGAGCCAGTCACATACCTGTTGTAACTAGTGGCTGCAAGAGTTACCACGGGTAGGACTTTGGCTCGCTGTAGCCTTTCATGCAGGCCGTTTCTTTAGTTTGATTATCCAAGCTTAAACCTACCCGGCACTTCCAAGCTTTAACAGCCTGTGTTTATTGCCAATGTTAAGGATTATACAGGTTTCTCTAATTAACTTACATCCACAATGGGATTTGTCAAAGTACGTTATCTTACGTATGACTTGGTAATTCAGAAGTTACAAATGGAAAGCGACTTGAAGTTTTGATAGGCTCCAACTCTATTAACCCCGAGCAAGGGCTGCAGCCCAGGGAGTCTCACTCTGAGGCCACCAGTCTTTCTCCTTTTTAATGCAGAAGTGTGTGGTCCCAGCGCACTCTGGACCAAGGCTGGTCAGCAACAGCCCCCAGTTCACAAGAAGCAGGTGATGCCCAGGGCTTCTGGCAAATTTGCAGCTCTCTTCACTCAGGCTTGTCTGCAGCAGACACCTGTTCCTCTTGACTGTACTCATGCTGTATCATCAGCAAGTGAGGCTGGCTGAGCAACCCCAAGCACCCACCTACCTTTATCCTTAAGAAACTATCTATCCCAAGATCGCATTAGCTTTGCATTTCAGTTTCTTTAAAACCAGAACATATAACAACAAAAATCCCTAGGAAGTTCTTTCCATGGCATTTCAACAGAAAACAAGGGGAAGTCACTTCAAATTGGGGGGCACTACTTGCAACCAAGAGAAGTTGCTGCTGCTGCTGCTACTACTGCCACCAAGGTCCCCTAAATGTTCACAGAATACAAAGGGTTAAACAGGATGGTATCCTGGTATTACTCAATAGGGTCAGTTTGGTAACAAGTTGTACATTCTCCCTTACACAACAGTCATCTAAATTACAGTTACAACCATATTAATTTAGCAAAAATTTTTGAGAAACCAGCACAGAAACTACACATTCATTGTCTTTTCTGGAGCTTTAAACTCCTCATCCACAAAGGATGGTGGCAATGAGAGCCATGCTGAATCATGACACTGCCCTGCATGGGAACAGGGAAGGGAGGGGTTCTGATGCTTTGTGGAGATCAGAAAAAAACCTAAATTGATGGTATGGGGGATGTCTTAGTATCTGTAGTACCATATGGCAGCTTTAAAATATGAAAGTAACCTTTGGATCACAAGAGAAGTAACAGTCTTGATCTCAGTTCTGGGTGTGGCTTATCAGGTTTGGGTTTCTTCTGAGTGAGATTTCTGGGGTATTCTTGTTTGGTTTTGAACACATTTGGAAACAGGTTCTAGGACTGAGTTCAGGAATGTTTGTGGATACTGTGCCTATTGCTTCACAGTGATGTCTGTGGGAGCTGGAGAGTGGTCTGATGGAAAAAAAAATATATTTATAGATAGGTACACATACACACGCACGTGCACACTCACACACACACAGAAGGTAAAACGTAATGCACCCTGCTCAAATGTATTTTGCTTGGAGTGATTTGTCTATTAAAGAAAAAAAAATTCACAGTTCCTCAACAGTAGTTAAAATTCCAGGTCAGCTACTGGTAATGAAATTATTTCCCCTGTACTTGCATGAGGTAGACATCCCAAGAGGATAAAGAAAATGGAAAGTTATGACAAATGTGTTAAGTTTTTTTCCTTTTCTGAACAGAAGGCCCCTTTCTGCTCGGTTCTTCGGGTGATGCAGACAACTTACTCGATGAAGCTTCCTGTGGTGACCTGCCCGAGCGCTCCGAGTTTTCTGACCTGCCCTCCTGAGAGTACAACGGAGACGAGTAGCCGTGCATTCCTCCCCCTTCTCTCAGGAAAGCAGAAGTGGAAGGCTGCGGTTCAGCTTCATGTCTTCCCTGAGAACTAGTGGGCTGCTGCGAGACAGTTTTATGGGGGCAGTTAGCCACCATGTGCATGATGCTCTGACAGTAATGGCACTTCTTTGGCTGCGGAGGTAGACTACATTCTTTAGCGTGGTGGTCAAGACCACCACAGTTGTAGCATCTAAAAATAGAGAGACAAGCAGTTATAAAATGCAGTGTTAAACGAACAGAGGTGTCATACTGAGTAAGCTCGGCGAGAAGCGTGCACAAGGTCTGCTGGTGAAGCAGCGTCAGTTTTGTTTTGTAAGTAAGTCCCTTAGAAAGTGCCCCTTCGTCGCACCGGTGCCGGAACCCGCCTCGCACTTGGGAGCTCCCGGCCTGCCGCCTCAGCCCGCCCCACTAGAGGGCACCAGATATCCAGGCACACAGCCACGCCGCCGGCATCTCTCTCCACCCGGGCACTGAACGCCCGCGGGTGCTTCAGCGCCTGGCAGGACAGCCATTGCAATGCGGGGCGCGGAGAGGAGGCGAGGACTCCCCACCCCGAGGCGCTTCACCCTGGGTGCACCCGTCGCCATAAAGGAACGTGCAGCGAGGAGATATTCAGCAGCAGATGCTGCTTTTAGGCAGGGAAACCCAAACGTGGACGATGGACTCGGTGCCCCTGTCACTAACCGGGCCCTCGCCCAGCACCCGGCCTCTTGCCTTCTCTGGCTCAGCCAAGGCACAGCGAGGCAAGGCTCTGGGCCAGGCTTTTACAGGGCTTGTGTTGCACAGGGTTCCTAATGGCACTTACGGTTTCAATTCAAAAGAAAATAAATAGAGCCCCGTCAAGAGTCACAAAAAAGGGTTTGTTTGTTTTCTCTGGAAATTCCCAAGCCGCGTGCAAGTGGCTGTGACCCAGGGTGCCATCTGCAACAGGACACGGAGCTGATGGGCGCAGAGAGCCTCCTCCCCAGCTCTCAAAAATGGCCAAAAGCCACAAATGCCCTTCTATTAACCCTCTTAGCCAGGGGAACCCTAAAGAAATCCCCAGCAATTCCTTACTGAATCCTCCTCGTACTTTGCAACACACTACCGTATGTAATCCTTGGATTACATTATTGTAACACATGATACAAAAAAGTAATTACATGCCTGTAGTCACACACACATGTGACCCTGTGCCAAGACATACTCACCACTGAGTTTTCTGTTTTGGCTATTTTTCTATCGTTTCTTGTTTCTTTGTTTTATAAAGCTTGAACTGATTGCACAGATATTTATTATAATCCAACATGCTACTGGAGAGCACTAAACCAATAACTGTTTTTTTGCTTTCCCTTAACCATCAGCTAATTCAAAAATGACTACACAAATCCTTAGACCTGGTGGAGTCAGCTGAATGATTAAAAAAGACTGTAACTGTAACTCACTGTACAGACAGAACAGTGCAACATGTTCTGGCTCAAGCCCACATCAAAGTATTTTAAATTTTCAGATTCCTGGAAAGTAACAGGGCACTCTTCCAGCTAGTATTTAGTGGTCACTCGTAGTCTATAGAAAGCCAGGAAGTTTTGTCCATGCAAAGCTGAATGTACAGCTGGAGTCACACCTACGGAATTTACTTTTCCTTCCAAAGAAATGCCATTGATAAAACCTGCATGATTTTGAGAAAGATTGCAAAATGGCTGTTAACATTTGCAAATCATGCCAAGAAACCATCTCTCAGTACCTCCCTCTTCATTTCTCTTCACTATTAGCAAGACACTAACCATATCTTTATTTTCACAGACAAATGAAAAAAGTTGCCTATGATGTGTCATGTCCCACAAGACTGACCTATAATTTAGAGAAGTTAAACGATGAACAGAACTTCATTATCCTTTCAGAAAACATTGTAATTAAATTGTCATATCCTCCATAAAAATTAATAAGAATCAAGAAACCAAAGCCATTATACTGAACCCTGCACTTCTGTAACAACTGCAGTAACATTTTAGGTGAACCGCTTCCACTTTTATGGAACTGGTTCCACTGCACTGAAGGTTTATGTGCTTTGTCAATGGAATCCGAAGACTATGTGTATTCTACAAAATAACCCATGAAGAGACACAGAATATAACGCTTCCCTTCAATCGAGAAGAGAATAACATGCACAAGCCCTATTATAATTTAGTCTTGATTTCCCTAGCATAGGAAGGGAAAGTATGTATGGAGTATTTTGTAAACCACAAACATCTGATCTAAGACCAAAACATAAAGCTTTCCCCCCCTATAATTAAAAGGGCAAGTTATTAAACAATAGCCATCTGACTACTGTCCCCCAAATCATTGAAGTCATCTTCAAATTAGTGACCCCCACTCAACAGTAGCATTCAGTTTTCTTAACTGGCATTCACTCAAGTATGTTTTCCTCACAATCTTTCTAAACACTTTGTGGACAAAATAATACAGAAGCAAAACTTGCAATTACAGAAACAAACAGCAACAACAAAACTCCTGAACTGTTTTAGCCCATAATAAATACATCTAAGAATTCACAACTGCGGTATTGGTTATAATATAGGTTATATTAAATAATTATGTTTATTCTTATCTTCTTCACCAGTTTCTAGCAGTGTCTTGTTCCTGGGTTTATATAACACAGGAGTGTGCAGACATTCTGGGAACTGGAGATTTAATCTTAGTTCAGACTACAGAATTTTACAGCTGTGCACGCATTTGTACTTGCTTCTTTCCCTTAATACTGCATGTATTTAGAATAGTTAAAGAAGTTTGAAAATAGGTTAAAGGGCCTCAGGAGCAGGGTAGGCGGCTGCCACGGACAAATCAATTTAATCAGTCACTATGGTATGCACTGTGTTATCCAATTCAGTGAACCATTTCACCTCACCAATTGACCAAGAACCTGCTGTTAGGGCCCCTGCTTCACTCAAGAGGCCTCTGTCACCTTTTGCATATATATTTATCAATACATCCTATTTGCAAAATATTTTAATTCCCTGCCTTTATTCACATCACAGCTAAAATGTCACCATAAAAGAAATCTCTATCAGAAGCAACTATGATTAAGTTATGATTTGGCTTTTCAGGAATGTTTTTTGTTACCAACCAACTGGAGCATCTGGCTAAAGTATTGCATTAGAATATGTATGTGCCAACCGGGCTGTGCCTGGACTTAAACAGGAGGGTGGTATTTATTCAGTTCTTTTAACTATTTACCCTGTCAATAACTCTTACCAGGAGAACAGATCAAACCCCGCTCTGAAATGCCTTCCCTCTTAAGGGATTTACACCAAAATGGAAATGGTCAGCAACCTCAGAGCTCACAAATGATACCACATGGCACCATCCACATGCATTATGGTATATAGCATTAACCCTTTTGTCCAAAATCCTTCAACTCTTTGCTCCTCTCTGCTGTGTATTACTTAGGTTACAACACAATGAAACCTGATAGCACATGATATGCACACACAAGCTTATACCTAAATACATAGAACAATACATGAGCTGGCTCCTGCCAAAAAAATAGCAAATTCTCACTTCACTATGCTCTCACAAATTCTAGATTAGTACAACCATAAGAAGTATGTCTTCAGAAACACCATCAAAATAATATACATTAGCTTCAACACAAGGTAAAAGTTTCTATGTAGATTACATAATGAGATGAATAAACCACAAAATACCCTTGAAATTGCAATTACAGTAGAAGCAGCCTTACAAAAAGCAACAGCAAGGAGATTTGTTAAAATAGGACTGTCTTTCTCACAGTAGGCTCCCATGATTTACTAGGTAGCTGCAGGCTCAAAAAGTAATGCAACAGGGTAATTAAAGAGATGGCAATTATCCTAACAGGGAATCCTTTCTTCATTACGGCACTGACAGGAAGGTAATTCAGGGTGATTTTTTGATTTAAAAAAAGACAAACATTTTAATAAAGGCACACTTCAAGGAACTTGTGTAGTGCTGTATTTCAGTATTCTCAGGAAAACAGTAACATTCATACCTACTAACAAAGAAAGAGAGCATATAGCAAGGTTAGAACACACTTCTAAATTCTCCTTCACTGTGGATCTCATTACATGAAACTATAAATATTAAAGGAAACATGAGCAAGCAAAAAGCACAGATTCCAGATTCATTAGAAATACTCAATTTCACAACTAAATGCAAATGCAAAACAAAACACTCTTTAGTTTTCAGTTTTTTTGCTTGTCCCAGCAGTCAACTCCTACTTAGGAAGCACACCCTAGCTCTATCTCTTTTAAAATGACAATACCCCTGCCTTGCAAATACGTTCGGCACAATAACAAGCTGAGCTAAGCAGTAAGGAGGGTTAACACTACTGCTTGCTCCTTCATGCTGCTTTATAATATGATTCAGTTGATAATCCAATATATATGACAAGTAGAGAATAATTTGTGTGGCTCTACACTATTACCTGTTGGGGAAAAAAGCTTTAAAATTTCCCTGATGACTTTTTCTTAGGAGGGGGAGAGGAGGGGTTAACATCTAACAGCGATAGTAAAGGAAAGAAAGTGGGTATAGTCAGAGGAAGACTAAAATAATCCACCGGGATATTCCCTATACCAAATCCTCTTGTTTTTCCGTTTTGAATGCTATCACACAACAAGAAGCTGCATCTTGGCTAAAATACTCCACCTAGCAATGTTAATGCTTTGAAAAACAGCATGGTATTCCAACAGCATGTGCAAAAGAGATGTTTTTACAATACACTGAATGCCAACTAAGCAGTTAAAGCATAAAGGAAATCTTTAAAATTGTATCTAAATCTGCTGCCCTGTCTTTTTTCAGTAAGTACTTTCACAACATACTTAAAGAAATGCCAGTTCTTGCAGACGGAACATGCAGTAGGTTGCCTGAACTAACCTATTTTGTTGTAAGGGAGGTTAAGCTATCCATGGTATAAAAGAAATATGGATCTTAGACAAAATGAGGATGTTTTACAATTCAAGGGCTTCAGCGACTTGTCTTGAAAATCAGACCATGGGGCAGTACAAGGGAACACCTTATGCTTGTCGAAGTGAACACCTAGGAAAGCTCAGGGAAGCGTGTGTTTGCACAGGCACCACCTGAGACAAGTGAGAAGCACCTCCAACACCTCTGCAGAGCTGAAAGTCTTCTGGACTGTTAAGGATCTGCTGATTTCAAATTGTCTTTGAGATAAACACA